GAGAGGAAGGAAGATCAGAGACGTTCCCAATGATGAATGCGTTTGAGAAACAGAAGCTTATAGGCATTTGAGGCTGGTCAATAGATAATAGAAGCTTCAAGAATATTTGAGTTGGCAAAAATGCAGTACACAAGTTCACAACTTGTTATTTGTTTACCTTTATTATTTTATAGTTGAAATATTTTTGAGGTGTGTAATATTTTTTTGGTACAAGCTTTGCATAAATTAAATTGAAAATATTTTCTTTACTAAATAGTTAAATAAAAAGTTATTTTCAGTATCATGTCTATTTTAGTCATTATACAGAACTATAACGCTTTTATATCATAGTTTACCAAACGCTCAAAAAATTGATTTTTGTATCCACATCACTTTTAGCATATAGTTTACCAAGCACTCAACTACTTTCATTCACAGCTGATTTTTATTACAGCAAATTTGAAAGTGATTATTTTCACAGCACAACAATGCCAAACTAGAATGTGACACACGTCATGAGAAAAATGGAAAATGTTCAAAAGAGAAAGTTAAAGAGAAACTTGGTAGTATTCCCCAATAGAATAATGTAAAAATTTTTAATATATAATATTATATGGCCCATATTATACGGGTTAACATAGGTTGATCCGCGCACCAGTATCTCCAAGTCCCCTGCTACGGACATGGCTCACCTCACCTGCTCTAGTCAAGTCCCACCAATCAAGGGAGGAGCCATGCCTGCTCCAGTCAAGTCCCACCAATTAAGGAATTGCACATGATCCACCAATCAAGGTAGAAGCTAGATCTTGCCCACTCTCCTACATGAGCAGATCCCCCGAATCAAGGAAGAGACCATATATACCTCCTTGTTTGATGGGAAGGGGCTGAGGGCGATCAGAAGAAAAGGGCTGGCTACCATCTTCTCCAAAGCTCTTATTCTCTTCTCCAGAAAGCTCCCACGCCCCTCTCTATGTAATCTGCATATCTCCCCTATGAAATACAAATATAAGAGCTCTAAAGTCGATGTAGCCCGATTCATGGGTGAAGCAATCAAATCTTGTCTTTGTGTGTATGTGAGAGAGTGTGATTTAGCCTATCTAATTATGTTGGTATATCATCAACATTTGGAGCCGTCTATAAGAATCCAGCAAAAATCTGTGTCGGTTCTCCATCACTCTCCTCTGGCTGAAATCACACACCATCACCAGCTAAGAAAAAGGCATCCTGCTCTCCCCCATCTAACGAACGGCTGACCAAGGCACCCATGCTTTCTTCTCCGCCTTTCTCACCCGCCAGCAACGGTGAATAATCACATGTCATGGAGAAAGCACAATCACTACGCCACCGCAGCCGACCACTGAACTCTATAAGCAGATCAACCACAAAAGGCAACAAGCAAACATAGAGTAGTGAATGGATCGACTCAGCTCGGTTCAGGTACCACTATTGCCTCGAGGCTCGGAGGCTTCCATCTATGACGGGAAGTCAAAGCCAACCCCACCCGATGTGGACAATTGCTAACACACCAACATCAAGACTGAGACACCTCGTATAGCACCGAGACTGAGATAGCTGGGATAGCACCGAGACTGAGACAACTCGAATAGCAGCGAGACAGAATAGCTGGGGCTACAATGAGACTAAGACAGCCCGGGCTACATCGAGACTGAGATAGCTGAGTCTCCAATGAGACCAAGACAGCCCGGGCTACATCGAGACTGAGACAACTTGGGATACATCGAGACTAAGAGCATCTCCAGCACACACAGGAACCCGGGCAAAAGGCCCCCCGGCGAGCCCAAATGATGTCCAGTGCAAGAGGAACGACCCGGGCAAGAGCTGGGTCCCACCAGCCTGGGCAGGCCTAAGGGCAACTTCCGCCTAGGCTTCAGCCCAAGTTTTGTGACGTCACGGTAATTCAAACTTGTTTTACCGTTGGCTTGGTGAGTGAATTACACGCGCCAACGGTAAAAAAATTTGACTTCCGCGCGTTGACGTCAGGCCTGACAAAATTCAACGGGCATGTGCCACATGTCGCGACAGGGACTCTCTGATCGTTTTTTTTCTAGAAATCCAACAGTCCTCATTTTTTTTGGCTAAAAAAATTGCCAAAAAATTCGAAAAAAATCTATTTTTTATTTATTTATAAAAATACCAAAAAATTATGTATTTTTTCCCTATAAATACCTAATTATTTTATTTACTTTTCACACCAAATCTTCATACAATTTCTTCTCTATTCAATATTTTTTACTCTTTACTCACATTTTTCACTTTCCACACCAATTTTCCATACAAACTCTTCTCCTTCCAATATTTTTTACTCTCCACTCACATTTTTCTATTACTTTCCATTTGTATAAAAAAAAACAAATGACATCTTCTGTCGAAGTCGGAGGCTCGTGGTAAACTCGAGAAGATATTGCGTTGTGTCAGTCTTGGGCGAACGTTAGTCATGACCTTATCACGGGCAATAAGATGAAGTTCCATCATATATGGAGCAAAATTCATGGAGAATTTTGTCAAAGATTGGGTTCCATTCGGACCGAAATGGCTTTGTCTAGTAGATGAAAACTTCTGAATAAAGAGTTAGGGAAATGGAGAAATGCCTTGACAAAAGCAAGGGAGAACATTCAAAGCGGTCAAAATTTTACCGATGAAGTAAAATATTTATAATTGCCATTTTAATCAATTTAATAGTATGGAGGCGTTATTTCCGGCGACGGATTCAGGATTCATGAGTTATAGGGTCTCAGTGCAAAAGTTGAAAAATATTTTAAAGACGAAATAGCATTGAAAAATTAAAGCCATAGCACTTTCATTCCTAATCAACCAACAACAACAAAACTAATCAAAACACAAAACCCTAATCAATTAATCAAAAGAAAAAGCCGTAATCAATTAATCAAAACACAAACCTTAATCAATTAATTTAAACACAATCCTTACCTGATTACAAAGTCTTGAAAACTATATATTTTTTGTGTGGACAAATTTAGGACTGTAGTCTATCCATCTCATGTCTTGGAAAAGTTCGATAAATTTGTTGAGAGTATGGAGGCGTTACCTTTGTACCCGGATAGAGATGACGGTCTTCCTCTGACGTCTCCAAGCCGGCCATAATAGAATAGATAGGGGAAGCAGCCAATAGCAGTCTGTTCTCGCCTTTCGATAGATAGTAGGTTGCTTCCAAGAAGGAAATCAGAGCTTTCTGCTATGCTGTTAGTTTCCCTTCCTTTTGGCCCATAGAAATAATAGGTTAACATGTCCAGATCTGTGTACTGGATTGGGCTCATATTACAAGTTTAAATTCAGGGACCAAATTATAGGTTTCTACATTTCAAGTCTAGATCATCTACCTTGGGGAGTTTATACATTTTTGCAATCTTAGCAACGTATGGAAGAGGACATAGATGCCCTGATGTAAGTATTACATTAAACAGAAGAAGCAAATATAGGTTGATGCTTACATTACATGTAAGTAGTATGACTTCTGATATGATCATCTGGTTTTCCGGGTTGACCTTGTTTGGCAACTGAGTCTGAAAACCAGTTTTCCCAGCTGAGCTGATGTTGAAATCTCTAAAGCCACTGCTACAGTAGGGTGCTGTTTGGTTAGCATGTACACAATACCTCTGCCTTCACATGTCCCTAATTGATTCTAGTCAATGATATGTGCTTCAAGACATACCATATGAATGAATATACTAAATACATTTGATCTCATGAGATTATTGGTCATGTGAAAACCGATTGCTTGAGCACGCAGGTTTATCTACCAACCAGTCTGCGTAATTTGTCATTCTATTAGGGTTAGGGTGGTTGTTCTTGCTGGAATTATTAGCCCCTTAATCTGAGCAATGGAGGGCCAATAAGAGTTGTTGGAGTTGGAATTTGAAGAGGAGGAGGAAAATGATTTTGGCATGCTTTCAGGAAAGTGTCGTAATACACTCGCATTATTTTCTTCATCCCTACAACTTACAACACTTTGTCTCTTCGCTACCACACTGCTCTCTGCTTCTGAGTTTTTTGGATTTCAATGAATTTCAGTCAGTTTGTTTCGGGAGGCGTCTTGGGGGCTCATCAAAATTTCTAAATTAACGCATTGTATATAAAGTGGCAATAACAATTCCCTTCTAAGTAATTACCATATATACAGTTTTTTTTAACATTAAATATTATTATTAAAAATCAATATTATTAACCAGAAAATGAATTTTTTTTTTGTAAATATTAATAAAAAACACTTCCAAAGGAGAATATTTTTTTGAGACAAAGGCGATAGCATTTCATTAATGAATAGGGATGAAATAAGTAAAAATAGGTAAATTAACTAGTAATTTTTGGCATGTATCCCCGCCATAACTTTCCAACTGACAATTACCTAATAAATTCTTTTTAGGCAAAAAGAATAATTTTTATTAGGTATATTTATCATTGTTAAGCTATAATATTATTATAGAAAGCACTAGAAAGTATTGAAAAAGAATAATATTTCAATACTTTTTAGTTAAAATTTATCATTGAAAAAGAATAATTTTTTAGTTACAATTGAGCTAAAAATACTAGAAAACTATTTTAGGAGCTCCTTATAAAATTTCAACTCTAACCATGCTCCCTAGTTTAGGGAATCATTAATAATTTATTTCTTTTTTTAGTTTAGCATAAATGCTCTCTCTTCAAATAAAATAATAATACTAATTAGTTAGTATTAAATAAATACTTAAAATAGCATTATAGTAAAGTAGCATTTAATTATAGAGAACCACTAGAAGTCCTTTCTCTCTCCTCAATTTATGAGTTGGATAGGGAGCATGGTTGGAGGTGGGTTTTCTCACTTTCTCCCTAGATTTTATCTAATGAAATGGTTTTGGGAGTCCATTATGGATGCTCTAAGTTTAAGAAGAGATGGTTGGAGGTGGGTTTTCTCACTTCCTCCCTAAATTTTATCTAATGAAATGGTTTAGGGAGTCCATTATGGATGTTTTAAGTTTAAGAAGGGAGTAGGAGTTTGCGTTACAAATTTAGAGATACAAGTGAGATTAATGCTAGAAATTTTATAAGGTAAAATTCAAAAGAAATATAGTAATGTAGTAAAATTAAAAGTCTCTAAACAAACACCACAAACACAATATTAAACCCCTTCTCTCATTTAATTTTTTGTCTTTCTCAAACCACAAAGTTACCCAAAACCGCAGTACTTGCACCAATACTCATAACAGTACAAATAAAAGCCATTAACCCAACGTCTGATCCTCTAGCTGCTGAATTCTCCCGCGGTAGCGGTGGCTGTGCCGGTGCATTTGTGTCCAAATCCGACAGCGGAGAAGGTGAGACTGCAGGCGGATCAGCCGCAAGTGGAGATGGAGCTGATGAAGATGGAGAAGGAGGGGCCTGAGAGGGTGGCATATGTTGGGTTTTGCTTCTGACGGCCAAAACCACCACTATCAGCTTCTGCCCTTTTTGGCAATTTTCAGCATTGCCACTGATGAAAAAAAATGGACCTGACCCCTCAAACTTGAAAATTGAGTCACCATCTGTTAGGGACTGTTTTGGGGTTTTTGTGTTGCATGAGAAATAATCCTCTTTTGTTACCACCAACACAGAATCTGATCCTTTTTTGTACTTGAAAACTGCATACACATAATACATAGCACCAAAAAATAAACCAAAAAGAAAAGTAGCTTAATAATATTACAGTAACTCTAGAGAGAAAGCCAACATGGTCTAACTCAGTGGAAAACGACTTTGATTTGTAGACCAGTGGTGTGTGTGTGTGAGAAACTCCCTTTCGTTTAGACAATCGCTTGTATTAATTTTTTTTTAAAAAAAAAACTAGAGAGAGAGAGAGAGAGATGCTTACGAAGCGTATCATTGACCTGAAACCTATGTCTTTCAGCCCAGTGATTGAAGTTCTCGGAAGGGCTCAAAACCCAACCGTCTTTGCCACCCACAATGAACTTGTAAGCTTGAGGAGAGCTACTAGCCAATCCCAACATCAAAATAACAAGCAACGTGCTCACAATTAGTCTCTTAGACGCCATTTCTGAACAAATCTAATCAAACCCACAAAATTAAACCTCTAAAAACACAGGTATAGCTAGCTATATTGAGAGAGGGAGAGAGAGAGAGATAGATTTAGTGAGATCTAGAGAGATATGGGATTTGGTGAGTGTTACCTGTGGCTAATTTGTCAGGATATATATAGAGAGGCTGAGGAGAAGGTGACCGTTGTAGGACATGCAAAAATGGTGAAGGGATTTACCCTTACTTAAAAATCACTGCTGGAAATTGTCTACGTGTTATTAATTCTGCACCCAGGCGTTTCAACATGTTCTTTATAACGTCCTCCTCTGACATTTTACACGTGGCAACATGCGAGAGACCCAACGGTCATTAGAAAATAAAATTTAAATTTATTAATTGTTACATTAAAAGGGTTGCTCTTTCTGTGCTTTCTTTTCTGGTTTGTTCACAAATGGGCTCAACTTTTAACGTTTGATTAACCAAGATAATGGTGCTTAATTGCTTGTAGTTTTGTGATTTAATTTGTAAACATTATATATATATATATATATATATTTCGAGGTCAAACTTATTGAGAAATGCATTAAAATGAACGGTTTATTTTCTTATTTATTTTCCTTGGTTATTGGGCTATGATTGGTTAATGGTAATTGGGCCGGGCTTACGTTTTCCATATGACATTAAGGACCATTGGCTTGTCTATAATCATTTTTTTCTTTCTCAAAAGTCAAAATGCAATAATTTGACATCTAATGTCATTATTTATATGTTTTTTTAATCATAAATATATATTTGATGTATTTCATTTTAGGGAAATTACTTGGGTCCTTAATTAATTAAACATATCAACTACAAATTAATTAAACAATATTGGACTTGATATCTAATCAGTACATATGACATATATGCTTATCTTATAATCAAAGCAAGACATTATTTCACATATAAAATAATAAGTTGTTTAAAGATGAAAAGTTGAAGTGGACTTTGTAGAGTTTGACACTTTTTGCCCTCTGCCATTTTCATATTGTTTGGATGTTTGATTGATTAATGTTTTCAAATAGTTCATCATTTCTTGCCTCTAATTATATTTTTAATGTTTATAATTTGAATTATCTAGTGAAAAAATAAATGAAGTGAAAAAAATTCAAATTAAATGGATTGGTTCTTGGGCCCGAGTATGGCACGAGCACGAGCACGGGCACGGCACGAGCCCGGCCCGGCCCGTTTCAATATGGACATGGGCTTTGGGCCGGGCTGGGATCAATAATTTTACTAAATGGGCCGGCACGGCACGACCCGATAAATTAAATGGGCCGGCACGGCCCGACACGAAAACGTTAAAAGCACGAGTTTAAATGGGATGGGCCGGCACGGCACGGCCCGTTTGACACCTCTACTATAATGTCAGCACTCCTATCATGATTGGAGGTAATCTGTTCGATTCCTACTTGCGTGTTTATTGGTCTTTTCTTTACTTATTTTATTCGAATTAACAAAAATTTCTCCATCAAATTTCCCTAAGAAGCATCAACTCACCGAGAAATTATAGAATGGTACCGTACTATTACGTCAACTGGTGATACTTCCACTCAAAATATTTCATTTATAATTTTTTTTAAAATTAATTATTCTTTGTCACAGCTGGATTTAATTTTTATCCGCTGAAATAAATTAGAAAAATAAAAAACTTAAGAAAAAAAAAAAAAAAAAGAATATCCTAGCAACAGAACCCAACCCTTACCCCCCCACCACCCCTCTGTCGTCTTCTTCCGACTGCCATCAACAGTCATTAGTCACACAAGTAAGAGAGCCAAATCCCCATAGCCTAATAAATTTTTGCAACAAGGAAACTTCATCTTCATTGTCAATGAATCTTAATATCTGATGGAGTTTATTAGATCCAATATAATACCCAACACAATCAACCCTTCCATATCAATTTCATGCTGGTCGATTTGTAGCCTGTTTGTTATAGACCCACCTCCCATCCCAACCTTCTTCACATCTGCTAGTGAGACCTTCATCAATGATAAAATATATATGGATCTTGGGGTAGTCACCAAAAGGTTGAGTTGAAGAACGGCAACAGAGAGAGAGAGAGAGAGATAAAAGAGAGGGAGGGGGTGGCGACTAGAGCGGCGGTGCGGGGTAGGCATGTTGGGGTGGGCTGTGGCTATCCTTTTTTCTTCTTTTTTTTTCCATTGTTTATTTTCTTAATTTTATTTTAGAGGGTAAAAATTAGGTTAATGTCCAGTTGTAAAATAAAGTTTGAGTTGTTAAAAAATAAAGACACATGACATATTTTGAGTGGGAATATCACTAGCTGACGTGGTGATACGGTACTACTCTATAATTTCTCCAAATCACCAATCAAAAACACAGATTCCTGTTTAATTTTAAATTCCTTTCGGGTCGAAAACGCGGGCTGCTGGTGGGGCTCTGCCCATGTTCTCTCCTTTTCCACTCTAAAACTGGAATAAAGAACCTTAGAATTCACCCTACCTATCGATGAAAAAATGGGATTTGAGAGGACCACCAGCTAGCGGATCAGAAATTTTTTATTACGACACCTTACCACTAGACTACACATGTCTTCACGAAGGATAGTTGTGCTCATCACTTTTATAGTCGCAAATTGCATCGTTATTAAAAAAATTTGTTTGATGACATCAATTCATGGTTTATTTTTTCTTTTCTGTATTTCATGTTAGATCATATGAGCACCCCAATTTATGTTTTGCACAGGAATGACCTTGTTTAGAAGAATTTGGTTTTAAATGCAAGTTGTCCTCTAAAAAATTACACTGGCTTCATAAAAAATGAAAAAGAACAAAGGTTTTTGGTAAGGAATTCTTGTAAAGTCAGAGTTCGTGCATGCCAATGTATCTTAGCCGTCAAGAAGTTGGATTTCTATGCAATTTAGGGTTTTGACAAATATATAAACTAGTGAAAGGATTAGTTGAGGACCAGACACACAACTAATTTGAAGCAGATTTCTTTTATTGCAAACAACATTCAGCCCTTGTTCTTGAGATTTCTAATTGACCGCTACTGTGAAACTTGTGCTGGTATGATTTCCAGTTTACGATCAATCTCAAATATGTTTCTTGATTTTATTTATTCCACACAGTACCAATTGACAATTCTTCAAATTAGTTTACTTTTTTATCATTTGTTTTACTTAATTTCACATCGATTTTATCTTTTGATAGCAAGATCTATTTCTATGGGGTGAAGAAGCCAATAGACTAGATGCCATTTCCATGAATGACAAGAAGGAGGTAGTGCTCTATTCCTAAATAGATCTAGGTTTGCTTGATTTTGTGATTACTTATTCTGTAAGAATCTTTTTGACTTAGTGGATTGCCTAGTTGTAGTGATGACCTATAGTATTTCCTAGTGGTGGGTTTCTGGGTGAACATTTCCAGTGTATTGATCTTGATTTTATGGCTATAGTCATACTGTATCTGTTATCTTTGGAATGATGATGAATGTTCACACACCTCTCACTTGAGTTGTTGCCAGCATAAGGGACGCTTAGATTGATGGGTCCTTTTGAGTACTTAGGTTGTCAATTAGTCATCTTCTAAGTTTGCAGGGACTTGAGAATTGATTGATAACTGGTAGTGTATTCTGCTGTGTGTTCTTAGGTCTATGACTAGGATTACTTTGTTCGTAGGATCGTTGTTTAACTTGTTAAGAGTGTAATTTTTACCTCTTACACCTAAGTACGAATTTCAAGCACCTTGTGGTAATTTCTTTTGAGCATTGCTGAGTTTGAACTTTCCCATCACATCTTTTGGGCTATGTTCACAATCAAATCATTGTCTTAAAAACCACTCTCTTACACTCAATTGGTCTTTGTGAGAGTTGTTATTTTGATTTATCTATTCGCTCTTAAGCGCATGTAGATTATTGGAGACCATGTTTTTGCCAGATTTGTTATGGCTTCAAGAGTTGGAGACCAGGTTGTGGTGGGTGTGGCCATGATGACACTTCTTTAGGTGGTGGTGGTAAGGTTCATTTAAGATTTTGGATTGCTTTAGGGTTTCAACTATGTTAGGTTTGCGGGCTTTCTTTGGACTTATGCTTAACTGTGATGATGTAGACCAGTAGTTCTAGTGCGGCCTTTGTTTACTTTATTTTTGCTTTCAGCATGTTAATTTGTGCCCTCTTGGAATTGGTGCTTTAGAACAAACTAAATGCTAAAAGCAAAACTAACCGGGACAAAAGCCGCCCTAAAAATACTAGCTCAAATCACCACAATTAACCATAAGCCCAAACAAAGCCTACAAACCTAACATAACCAAAACCCTAAAACAACCCATGAGCCTAAACGAACTCCACCACCACCATCTAAAGAAGCGATGTCGCAGCCACACCCACCACTGCATCCATAACAGATAGGAGGAAAATATGATTTCAGCAATCTACATGGGCTTAAGAGCAAACAAATTAACAAAAACAAAAACCTTGAAAAAGAACAATTTGGTGATTTGCAGCAACCTCCGTTAAAGATGATGTAGAATCAAGTTTAGAGAACATGAACAGCGTTAGAAAGTAGATTTTGGGAGAAAGATTTGATTGAGAACATAGAAAGGATGATGGGGAACATCAATTTAAGCATGGCTCAAAAGAAATCACCATCATGGTTTTATATTCAAAATGCTCCAGTGAACTTATTCACTAACCTAAAAGGAAAAGATGAGAAGAGAGGAGGGGGAGGAGGGGCAATGATACTTCTTCCTCCTCCATCTCCATGAATTTTTCATTTCGGACTTACAGAGGGAAAG